CTCGGAGGTCTGCTGGGGGGGGAGGGGGACGCGCAGCTAGTGCGGAGTTCCCTCACCCCATTCGTAAGTAGGGATCCGATGTAAGTCAGGATCCGACATAAGTCGGATCCACGTAACCCAGGGACTGCCTGTAACCCCTTCATCCTCTTGCTATTGCAGTGAAAATCTGTGATGATTAAGAAATAGATGTGTGTCCAGTGTGGAAAGCTAGGTCATGCCTGATGAGTGGAGAGCTCACTTCTCATTGCTTGCATGAGATTTTGGAAAGAAAAAGTAGTGGAAAGATGTGCTGGTTCACGTAAAAGTGGAAGACTACCTTAGATAGGAATGCTAACTGCAGATGTAGTTGCACTCTAACCTTATAAAAGATTGCGTAAGGGGGTCAGAGAAGAGAATTGGAATTCTGAGACCCGTCTGGCTGAGATTATGGCCACCACAAAGATCATCTTTCAGGAAATGTATGATAAGAGAGAGAGTTGGAATCCTGAGACCCTTCTGGCTGAGATTATGGCCACCACAAAGATCATCTTTCAGGAAATGTATGATAAGAGGCAGGTTGCAAGGGGCTTGAACGGAGGTCCCATGAGTGTGGAGAGGAACATGTTAAGTCTCATTGTGGGACAAGATGTCTGACCTGGGGATACTGTCTATCCAAGCCATGGGGCTGCCAAAGACAGATCTGCCTTCCCCACCTGGATGGAAGGCTGAGATAGATGCCATGTGGACTATAATAGATGACATAGCCAGCCTGAGGTATTTTTGATGCAAAAGGTAGTCACGCACAACCGACGAGGGGGCTTGTTGAGGGGAATACTTTTTTTGGAGGGACCAAATTGAGAAATGCTTCCACTTTGCAGGGTATGTTTCAGCAAGTGGAGGGCTTCTGACTGCCCAATAGGACTTTCCTAACCAAGTCCAAACACTGCAGCTTCAGCTGATTCAGTTATGTAGTTTTCACACCAGGAGGTGGAGAGAGAGCAAGTTGAGGTGTTGTAGTTGGCAGTGATCCTGCATGATGAGATCCAGGAGCACTGGCATAGCCTGTCCACTGATAGGCCCAGCAGTGTTGTGAACCAGTGCTGTTGGGACCATACCAGCACAATGAGAATGACTGATGCCTTGTCCTACTGGATTTTGAGAAGGGCCTTGCACACGAGCAGGAAGGAAGAGAACGCAGGCAGGCAATGACTTAAACTATAGATAAAAGGCATCCACTGTGGAGCCATGGCTGTGGTTCTGGAAGAAGCAGAACTAGTGACATTTGCGGTTGCTCTGTCTCGCAGAGAGATCCACATGAGATGGAGAGGGTGATGTCTACTCTGAATGACCACTTGTGGGTGTTGAATGAGCAGCTGAGGTGGTCCCGCAAGGTCATTCTGCTCCCTTGATAGGCTTGAGGTACCACTCTGTCTGTTTAGATAGAGTATCACCGTGCTGTTGTCTGTCCGTATTGAAACACGTGTGCCCTGCAATTGGGGATGAAAAGCGTTGCAAGCCAGGCGAACTGCTCTGACCTCCACGACATTGGTGTGCAGCAACAGGGCCTATGGTTACAATCAGAAGTGAGTCCTGATGCTGCCCAGGTGTGCTCCCCAACCAGTCTCCAATGTGTCAATAACCAGAAAGAGTGAGGGTTAAAATTTGATAGAGGGCACTCCTGCACAGACCACCTGAAGTTGAAGCCACTGGTTGATGGATTCGAGAATCATGGGAGGGAGGGTGATCAGCCCCTCTATACAGTCCCAACTGGTACCCTTAACTTCTGCTAAGCAGGCCTATAAGGGGGAAAAAGATAAAACTTGCTGCTGCACCACATTATGTAAAGACCACCATGTTCCCAAGAAGCCTTGCAGTTCCTTGCCATTGTGGTTGGGAACCACTGGAAGCTGTTGATGGGGCCTGTAATAGTTTGGAATGGATCTTAGGCAGGCAGATTCTAGCCTGTGTGGAGTCCCGAAAGGCCCAGATGAACACTAGATTTTGTGTCAGGACCAGTACGGGCTAAGGTATATTCAGGAGAAGACCTAGTCTGCTGAAAATGTTCACAGTGCCACATGCTCCAGCCCGATTTTGGGACTGGCCTTTGATGAGCTCATCATCCAGGTACAGGAAGACTTGCACCTGGCATTTGGCTGCTACAACCGCCATGTACTTTGTGAATATGTGGGGCCGTGGAGAGTTCAAACTGTAGCACAGTGAACTGAATGCAGATAATTAATTACCAATCTCAGAAATTGCCTTTGTGCTGGAATAATTAGTATATGGAAGAGTGTATTCAATTAAAGAGGCATAATCAGCCCCTGGCTCCAGGGAGGGAATAATAGTGGCCAAGAGACACCATGCAAAACTTGACTCTTATAAATATATTGAGGTTTTGCAGATCTAGAATGGGCGGGCGGGAGCTTGCCCTTGGCCAAAAGGAAATACTGGAAGTAGAAACCCCTGTCCGTGAACTCCTGAGAAACCTTCTCTAACATCCCCAGCATGAGGAGCGATTGCATCTTCTGTAGGAGGAGTTGGTTGTGAGAAGGGTCTCTCAAGAGGCATGGGGAAGGTGAGTGGGATGGCACAGAACACCCCACCTCTTCCCTGTGCAGAACCTGGCAATCTAAAGTAATCTGGGCCAAGGCATGGTAGAAAGGAGATAGGTGGTTCACAAAGAGAGAATGGATTTGGGCTAGTGGTCCATCCCAGGTGTACCTTCAAAAATTCAGCTTGGTTCTGGGGGGCATGCTTAGAGGAGCTCCTTAGAAGATCTCTAACCCTGGCTGGAGGAGGACTGTGGTTACCACCTCCTATGACAGTTTCTGCCCTGATGCTGGTTATAGTCCTGCTGGGGCCGAGGATAAAATCATGAAGGAGATTTCCTCTGGAGTGCTGGTGTATAAGGCGCTGGAGATCTTAAGGATAGCTCATAAGTCCTTCAGACTATGTAGTCTAGAGTCAGTTTTGTCAGCAAATAGTCCTGTACAGTCAAAGGGAAAACCCTGAATAATATTCTGCAATTAAGCCAGGAGTTCAGACACCTGCAGCCATGAACTGTGCCGCATAGTAATGGCCAGCCATGGTTCTCGCTGCTGAATTGGCTGAGTTCATGGTGGCCTGGCGAGAGGTCCTAGCCACCGGTCTGCCCTCTTCTAGAAAAATGACAAATTCCTGTCTAGCCTCAGGCAGGAGTAATTCTTGGAACTTGGACAGCATGTTCCATGATTTAAACATATAGCAGCTAAGCACTGCCTGCTGATCTGAGATCCTAAGCTGGAGCCCTCTGTGGAGTATACCTTTTGACCAAAGAGGTCTAGCTTCTTTGCCTCCTTGTTCTTGGAGGGCAGCCCTGGTTGCCCCTGCCATTCTTTGTGATCCCAGGTTGAGGGTCTGTAAACAAATGTTCATAATTCTTCTGTGGGAAGAAATGAAACCTCTCCACCCCCTTAGCCATTGGTATCAAGGCTAGGGTCTGCCAGAGCACCTTGTTCTAGATTGTCTTAATGAGTGTCAAGGCTACCCTAAATGAACCCTCCAGGGCTAGCAGGTCCATCATAGGGTCTGATTCCTCAACATCCTCTGTGGGCATATGCAAGTTCTGAGCCATTCTGAGGAGGTCCTGGTGGGTTTTGAGTCAAAAACCAAAAAGGATGAGATAGAGCTAGCCACTGCTGCATTCGGCGATGGAGATAAGGAAGCCCTGGGAGGAATAAGGTCCTCCAGTCCTTCTGGTTCACTGGTACCCTCCAGGTAGTCAGCTAGTAATAGCCCTCGTGGTAGGGGAGGTGCCAGCACTGTCACTCTCAGTTGCATACTTGATTCCAGAGGTACCACAGGAACAATCTCAGGGGCCTTGGAGTGCTCTGGAACCACCAACATTGCCAAAGGGGTGGTGGATAGGGGCATAGATATCCCACAGCACAGCTGGTGTGCGTTGTGTTCTTGTGGCTGGAGCAAAGACTCCACTAGCAGGGATTTTAGCTGCTGGTCTCACTCCCTCTTAGTTTTGGGCTTTAAAAGTCCCTGTAGATGCTTTACTTGCCTTGCAAATGGCTCTCCCCAAGCTCTTTAGACAAACAGCATATGGATCCCCTCTGGGCATGGGCTTGCCGCAGGAGTCACGCTGCTTAAACCCCTGGGGCAGCTGCATTCCCCAGTAATAAAAGGAAATTTTTGGGGGGGAGGGGGAGGAGGAACCTCCCATGGTAAACTTGGGATCAACTATAAAAAGGCTAACATACACAATTACTATAACTAAATAAGAACTAGGGATGTTAAAATGTGTCTTTGTAAATGAGTAACCGCTGAAATTTTCAACAGTTACATGTTTCCATGCGTGTACAGGCTCCCACCTGTCTCCCCTCCCCATGTGCTGCTACCTCAGATACAAAAGCAGCAATGTAGGGGATACAGTGCGTGTAACTATGAGGGTTAACTGATGAGCCCAGGCTCATCGGTTAACTGTCTATCTGGGTGCACATTAACATCTCTAATGAGAACTATATACATAGAAAGCTTAGGAATGTCTTGCAAAGCATGAGATCAGTTGCTCCAGCAACCATCACTGGCAGTTAGAAAGCAACTGAGGTGGTGGCAGAACAGCAGGGACGTATGTACTTTGCCATCAAGGTGCTACTTGATGGGGTTCTCCCCAGCTGATCAGACAGGTACTGCTAGAGAATGAACATGAGCAAGCACTCGAAAAAGCAGCTAAGTTTACACAAAGAGACTTTCCAGCCATGGAATATCCCAGGATCTGCACAACATTCAAGTTCCCCCCCACCACACCCCTTCTCTTGGTCTGACACATCTGTGCTGAAACTCTTAGTGATATAGCACAAAGTCTCATCTTCAGTGTTTAAATCAGTTAACTTTCTTATTCATTGATTATATAAATAAAATGTATCATTTTATTACATTTAAATTGATGCAGTCAATTAAAAAACTACAATAGCTGAAAAAAAAAGTCTGATGCTCTACACCAAAATTAGAGACAGCAATGGGTCACTTTGTGCATTTAGCAGTATTTTCAATATATCCCCTGTAGAGCAACTCAGTTTTCCCATTTATATATGTCTTGCAAACAGTCACAAAGAGAGGGGAGGCAAGAGGAGAAAGAACAAGATCCAGTTGTAAAACTATGAAGATTGGTTAAGTGGAGACAGAAGGAACTGAAGTACATCGATATTTAACTCATTTTTGTAAACTGACTAGATCTCAGGTTGACTGCATCTCTTTAAATCAGCTTTCTGAAAGCCTGTAGCTTATCTCACTTCAGTGTGTGTGTGGAAGGTACATCACTTACCATGTCACCAGGAATGTCTAAAGGAGAGGAAATGTCTGTTGAATACAGCTTTCTTTTGGCTCTTTTTGGCTTGAGCTCATTTGCTTTCCGAGTGTCCACTTCTGTAGATTTAGGGGAGCTTATTGTTTCAATCAGCTTCTTTGCTACAAGACATTTGATTTTAATCAATATTTGATTTTTTTAAACAAAAATAATATAATTAGAAGGAATCAGGGTAATATTTAAAAAGCTACAATATAATAATCTAACCACCAGTGAAAAGGTTTTTAAAGAGGCAATGGGTTAAAATAAAAACTTGCTTGATTACACAGACACATGGCTCATACCCCTTTCAGAGGGATAAGTAGTGTTAGTCTGTAACTGAAAATACTTATAGTCTTGCAACACATCTACATTTTTTGTTAGTCTCTGAGGGTATGTCTACACTACAAAGTTAATTCGAACTAACAGCCGTTAGTTCGAATTAACTTTAATAGCGGCTATGCATACAAACCGCTCGTTCGAATTTAAATCGAACTAGTGGAGCGCTTAATTCGAACTAGGTAAACCTCATTCTACGAGGACTAACACCTAGTTCGAACTAAGTAGTTCGAATTAAGGGCTGTGTAGCCACTTAATTCAAACTAGTGGGAGGCTAGCCCATCCCAGGTTTCCCTGGTGGCCACTCTGGGCACCACCAGGGAAACTTCTGCCCCTCTCCCGGCCCCGGAGCCCTTAAAGGGGCACGGTTTGGCTACAGTGCTTGTGCCAGTTGCAAGCCTGCCAGCACCCAGCAGCAGACCCTGCACTTGGCATGGCATGAGCCACCCACCCGCTGCTACCCAGCCCTCTGCCTCTTCCCAGGACCAGGCTGGCAGCTCCCAGGAGCCTGCCCGGGGCC